CTAGAAACTTTTTTGATTATACACTTAATTAATTTTCATCTTTCTCCCCTTTCCCATGTATGCATTTGATACTATAAACTTCTTCCCAAGTATTGTTTCGACTGGTCCACAGCCTTGACTTATGGAATCTTCATATTACCACTTACTGTCATATATGATCTAATTCCTGCAATGATTTTTTTTTTTTGGAGAGGTTTTTGCTATAGGGCGCGTGCGCTCGCCAGACAGGCAGAGAGAGATAGAGAGACAGAAAGTGAAAACTACCCCCCCCCCAGGGGGAATGGCCACGCCGCAATCCCTTCTCCTCCATTTTCCTCTCTGGATCTTGGGCACGCACGCACATGCGCCCAGAGTGAGTTTAAGCCACTGGGTCTGGGACTCGAACCGTGGTCGACTACGTGGGAGTCCAGCGACATAGCCAGTACACTAACTGCTCATCCCTCCTGCAATGATTTTTTTAAAAAAAGCTTGTAATGGTGGTAAAGAACACATTTCATAACACTTACCATGTTAACCATTTTAAGTTCCATAGCATTAAATATATTCAAATTGTTGTGCAACAAATATCTAGAACTTTTTCATCTTGTGAAACCAAAACTTGGTTTCAAATTACAATGTCTCATTTTTCCTTCCTCCCAGCCTCTGGAAACCACCATTCTATTTTTTTTTTTTTTTGGAGAGATTTTCGCTATAGGGCGCGTGCGCTCGCCAGACAGACAGAGAGAGACATAGAGACAGAAAGCGAGAAATCACCCCCCAGCGGGGATGGTCACGCCACAATCCCTTCTCCTCCATTCTCCTCTCGGGATCTTGGGCACGCACGCACACACGCCTGGCGTGAGTTTTAAGCCACCGGGTCCGGGACGCGAACCGCGGTCGACTACGTGGGAGTCCAGCGACATAGCCATTACGCTAACTGCTGGTTCCCACCACCATTCTATTTTGATTTTATGAGTTTGACTGCTTTATGTCATCATTACATCTTTTATATTGTATATCCTTTAAATCATTGTAATAATTATTTTTAGCTCGTTTGTCTTTTAATCTTCATACTCTAGGTGTGTGATTTATTCACCACCGTTACATTTTAGAATATTGTGATTTTTGACTGTATTCTTACCCTTAAGGGCACCTTTTTTACTTTCGACAGTGCCTTTCTTACTTTCTGATGCTTTTGTTTTGCTCATTAGTGTCCTTTTCTCTCCGCTTGAAGAATGCCCTTTAGCAATTCTTGTCAGACTGGCCAGGTAGGGATGCACTCCCTCAGCTTTTGTTTGTCTGGGGAAATCTTTATCCTTTATTTGTGAAGGATAGCTTTGCTGGGTTTAGTATTCTTTCTTCCTTGGCTTTGTGGTTTAGTTTTTTTTTTTTCTTCAGCTGTTTGAATATATCCCCCCACTCTCTTCTGGGATATAACATTTCTGCCCAGAAGTCTACTGGTAGGTGATTTACTTCTTCTTTCTTGCTGGTTTCAGAGTTCTCTTCATCTTTGACATTTGTTAGTTTTATTTTCATGTGTCACAATGTAGTCTTGTTTGGATTGACTCTGTTTTGAGACCTTTGACCTTTCTGTACCTGGATATTTATATTTTTATTCAGGTTTGGAAAGTTTTCTGCTATTATTTCTTCAAATGTGCTACTATACTTTCATCTTTCTCCACTCTCTTTGAATGCCAATAACTTGCTTATTTGGTGTTGTTCTGTAAGTCTTGTAAACGTTCCTCTTTCCTTTTTAGTTTTTTCTTTTTTCCTCCTCTGGCTATATATTTTTAAATAACCTTTCTGAATTCATAGATTCATTCTTCTGTTTGATCAATTCTGCTATTGATGCTTTCTATTGCATTTTTCCACTTTGTTATTGTATTTTTCAGCTCCAGGATTTTTGTTCAATTTTTAAAATTATTTTGATCTCTATTAAATTTTGTTGATAAATTTCTGAATTAATTCTCTGTATTTTCTTGAAGTTTTCTGAGCTTTCTTAAAACCACTACTTTTAATTCTTTGTCAGATGGTTCATATATCTTCATCTCTTTAGGGTCAGCCATTGTCTGTCTCATGACATTATGTTCTCTGATCTTGATTCTTGCAGTTGTGCATTGATGTCTGTGTATTAAAGAACAGACATTTGGGATCAACAGGTCGTGTGGTGGCTAAGGCACTGGACTCCCACATAGCTAACAGTGGTTTGAGTCCTGGACTTGGCAGTTTGCAAATCATGCTGGCCATGTATGTGTGTGCATGTTCAAAATCCCAAAAGGAGAATGGCAGAGAAAGGATTGCAGCATGCTGATCATTCCTGGGGAATGATTTCTCACTTTCTCTCTCACTGTCTTTCTCTCTCTGGTGAATGCATGCATCCTATGGCAAAAATCTTTTATTTTTAAAGGTATGTATTGTGTTTATTTTCTGTCTTTGCAGTCGGAGTCTATCTGAGAATATCGTGCAACAGAGTGCTTGTCCAGAAATTTTTAGGCACATTGGTTGTTGTGGTGCCTGTGATTTCTGCAGCTAGTGCAGCACGAGGGGCACCCTAAACACAGAATCTTTACCAGGCTGGAATCCCTAGATAAGGCCTGTGAGTGTGGGTGTGAAAGCGCTTTAAGGCCAAGAGGAGTACTGATTAAATTCTCAGGTATGGCATAACTAGCACCTGTATCTTGTCAAAAAGTGCTGGAGATGTAGTCCCTATTCCTGATAGGGTCTGGCATTCCACTTTGAGGCACTGGGGGGCACTGATTAAGGCCCTGAGTAGGGTATATCCAGTCATGCTTATTGTGGAAACTTACTGCAGGGGATCTTTCCTCTCCCACTCCTCTGAAGTAGGCCTAATGCTGGGTCTGGAGGCTGGTCATCTAGAGATTCAGACCAGGCAGAACTTTCCTTCTCTTCTGAGAGCAATGGCTTTGAGGTGACTGACGGCGTTAGTTGATTCCACTGATCTAGTGCCTATTGCTGGTGGGTACACTGAACCGGCACCAAAATCTGCCCACTGGCCCCTGGCTCCTCCTCCTTGCTTTGGTTTACCTGACCCCAGATGAGGCAGTCATGCAGCGTCTTCCTATGTCCCCACTCCCAAAGAGCGGACAATAGACGGGTTCCTGAGAAGCATCTCAGAGGTGGTCTGTAGTTTTCTTTTTTGTAATGATTTTTGTCTGGTTTCAGTATTAGAGAAATGCTGCCCTCATAATAAATTGGCAAGTATTCCCTCTGTTTTCTATCTTCTGAAAGGGACTGTATAGAACTTTTTCTGATGACAGAAATGTTTTAGGGGCCAGCAGGTGGCACAGTGGTTAAGATGCTGGACTCCCACATGGCTGACCACAGTTCAAACCCCGGACCTGACGGCTTGAAATTCACGTCAGGCACGTGTGCACACGTGACCAAAATCCCAGGAAGAGAATGGAGGAGAAGGGATTGAGGTGTGGCTGTCCCCCGATGGAGGGTGATTTCTCACTTTCTCTCTGTCTCTCCAGTGAGCATACAGCAAAAGCCTTAAAAAAAGTTTTAAAATCTGAGCTGGCTCCATGACTGGTATTTAAGGCAGTTGGATCCCACATGGCCAACCCCGTGGTTTGAGACCCAGACCCAGAAGCTTAAAAACATGATGGACACGTGTGTGAGTACCCGAAAGGAAGAGAGATGGAGAAGTCTTTGCAGTGTGATTATTCCTCGTGGGGAGCGCCTTCTTCACTCTCAAGTGCCCTCAAGTTGGAAAAATAAAAACAAAAATGTTTTAGAATGTGCACTGTCCGATATGACATCAGTAGTCACTATGTGGCTACTGTGCACTTAAAATTTGGCTAGTGCAAATTAGGAACAAAATTCTAATTTTGTTTAGTTTTCATTACTTTAAATGTAAATAGTCACACGTGACTAGTAGCTAATATAACACAGCTATAGAGGGCAGCAGTTATTAGGAGCTGCCTACTTGCAATGTAGAGTGAGCTACTTAGCATTTCCATGACTGATACTCTTTCTGCTACTCGTATTTGAGCATGTTCTATGCTGCGTAAAGTATAATGGAGTATATAGCAATGTCTCTGTTTCGCAGAAAAAAATAAAAATTTAAATAAGCATAAGAGAAAGAAAATAAATATAAGAAAGCATAAAAAAGAAATACAAGCAATGCTACAGTATCACTTTTAAAAATATTTATTATAGCAACTGTATGTTTTTGTGGAGGCATGATATAATTTCTCAGTATAGGAATATGATGTGCAATGATTAAATCAGGATAACTTAGCATACCCATCATCCTAACCATTTGTCATTGTACTTGTGTTTGGAATAATTCAAAATGATCTTTTTGTTGCTTTGTGATACACAGAGGTTTATTGTTATCTACAATATATTCTCCCTATGGTGTTTTATGATAGCAGATATTGCTCTTCTTGTCTATCTGCAGTTTTATTTCTCTCAACCAACATCCCTCTATTCTCCTCTACCCCAATCCCTCCCAGCCTCCCTCTGAAGTCATTCTTCATGTCTTCCTGTGAAGACTCTTAGACTCTTTATTTTCTTTCTTTTCAGTTTCCACATTTGAGGAAGAACACGTGGTATTTCTCTTGGCTTATTTCATATAACATCATAGCTTCCAGACTCATCCTTTTAACATTAAATGACAGAATTCATTCTTTTCAATCACAGAAGAGTATTTCATTCTAGACATAACTATATAAAGTTACATATGCATAACTTTCTTAATGTTATAATAAACATTGGGGTGCAGATCTCTTTACAGCATATGACTTACTTACTTTGACATATAACCTAGTAGTGGGGTTGCTGGAATGCAGTGAAGTTCTATTTTTTTTTTTTTTTTAATTTTTGCCATAGGGCATTGGAGCTTGCCAAGAGAAAGACAGAAATAGAGGGAGAGGGAAAGTGAGAAAGCTGCCCACCACTTCCAGTGGAGGATGGTCATGCTGCAATCCCTTCTTCTTCATTCTCCTTTCAGGATTTCTAGACACATATGCACACATGCCCAGTGTGTTTTTCAAGCTGCTGGGTCTAGGACTCTAACCACATGGTCAGTCATGTGGGTTCCAGTTGACTTAATCTCCATGCCATCTGCTAGGCCTGAAGTTCTATTTTTAAATACCTTAATTTTACTCACAAAGGAAATATACCAAGTGTAGAGGACTTTCGAAGAGAAAGCAAGCTCTATTTGTAGGAGGAATAAGGTGGTTATTGAAGTGTACTGTATGTTTGGGCAGGTGGAAAGAAAGGGAGAGAAATTCCAGGTTCAGGCATGGTGCAATAAAATTAGGAGGCTAGGAATTTGCAAAATATGATTAGGGACCAGTAAGCTAATTTGAAACATGGAGATGGTTGGTTTTGAAAATGAAAATAAGCTAGAAAGGAAGGTTAGAGTGAAATGACTGCAGCTCCCTTTGAATTCAGGTCTAAAGACTGGGACTTATCTCTTGGCCATTACACATTGAGAGTCATGGAGGGTTTTGAGCCATAGAGAAATATAATAAGAGTTGTGTTTTAGTCTTGTGGGATGAACAGAGAATGGAGTTAGGAAGCTGTTACATTAGTCTAGGCAAGAGGGGAAAAGTTTTCTTTCTAGAAATAGAAAGGAAGCAGTGGTTGGGATGGGAGAGTGTAGGTCCAGTAAATATGCAAATTGGTGAGAGATGTGAACTGATGTATTACCCCAGAACCTTGACGTGAATTAGAAGATCTCAAGGGGAAACTAAGGCACTCAATGATTACTTGGCTACCAAGAAACTGCTGGAAGAAATAGTCACATAGTAATGCATTAAGAAGCTTGGAGCAAAACTTAATCTGATAAGTTTAGTGTATTATTATGTGAGAACTAATGTATTTTTAGTATGCCGACAAGATTATCTGTAGAAAACTTAAATATAATGATTATTAGCAATAATTACATAACCTCCCTCCCTCCATTGACACCCTGCTCCTACTCTCCACATTGTCCCACCTCTGTTAATTCTATCACGTCTTCTTTTCAGCAGAGTGAACAAGAGCTACTACAAGAAACAAATGGTCTAAAAACCAGACTCCAATATCATCGGGTCTGAGTGTTAAACTTTCACTGATTATTACCTAACATATTGAGTAATAAAGTAAAAAAATACTTTTAGCTGAGCGCAGTGGAACGTGCCGCAACCCCAGCTACTTGGGAGGCTGGATAAGGAGGATCATGAGTGAGGCTGGCCTGGTCAGCATAGTGAGTCGCTGTCTGCAAATGAAGAAACAAACAAACTACCCTTTGACCCCAAAGGGAACAGGCTCTTGGTTCTTTCTCTTCCGCACTAGAATTGGAAGTGGAAAGTTAGACTAGTATCAGCCATTTTCTTCTTGTAATCTTCATCAAAGCGCTCATTCTGAGCCACAGTGAAGTGGTTCTTCCAGTCTCCCACTGCCCCTGAAACAGTCATGGAGGAGAGTTAGCCACTGGGGAGTTTGTGTTCCCCGTTCTCCCTGTTTCTGTGTAATGGTTTCTACCCCACCTTCCAGGAGGGGCAGTGAGAAGAGAAGAAACCGTTCCCATCTGACTTGTGAGACAGGGAGAGCCTGTTTCCCAGCTAGCCACGATAGAGGGGGACGAGAGCCCTGGTTCTCTCTTGCCTTCCCCTCAGGCCTCTTGCATGTCAGAGCATGTGGGCGTTTCATGCCAGTGGGTTCTATGCTGTAAGCTGACCACAAAGGACTATTTCTAGGTGGTCCCAAGGTATAGATTTGAGGAATACAAAAATAAAACCCCCAAATTCTCCAATTGCAATCTCTATTTCCTTTCCCAGCTTTATTTTTTAACCACCATCTACCATACTATGTATTCTTCTTCCTTATTTTATCATGAGAATACAATTTTCATGAGGGAAGGAATTTTTACATTTTGCTCACTGCTCCAAACTGCCGAGGGCAGTGCCTGGCATGAAGTAGTTTCTTGGTAAGTACTTTTGAATGAATAAAGTGGATTCTTTTCATCTGACTTAATTCTGTATATTTTCACTTTATCAGGCAGAACCTTGGAGACAAAGTGGGAATAAGTGGTTGGATTTAGATGCTAAACCACAATGTTCCATAATGGCTAATTCTCCTATATTATTTTCATTTCATTAATGGTTTCTTAAATACTTTTTTTCTGAAAAACATTAATTAGAAGTACTATTTTTCCTAGCCATAGAAAATAACTCCCCAAATGTTCTGAAGTATTAGACAATTCTTTTAAGAGCAAAAGAAAGTACAAAAACCTTTTCTCATGAATGGAGAAATGGAGTGGTTCATTATTTCCTTAGGAATCGATGAGTAGTTTGCCATTGAGTTCTGCTTCATAACATCAAATGAAGTGTGATGAGCAATCTTTTCTAAAAGTTTGTCATCTAGGTTCTTCCCAATAAATCCTGCTAGCTTCTGAATTTCATGCTTCGGGTTCTATGGTCAGAGTCGAAAGAAAAGTAAAGATTGGAGATGAAATAATTAGTTTAAAAAAACCCTGAAATTCATCAATGACAGTAACTAGGAACATGACATGAGTTAAAATTTCTAAAAAAAACTCTTATAAACGCTCAGCTTTCTATTAATGATCATTTTAACGTGGTGACCCATATTATTATCATTTTATTGAGTGGAATTATTAAGCATCTCCCTCTCTTAACAGGTAGCTATCAACCACAGTGGGGCAGGGTTAGTGGAACATTCACCAGAAAGGGATGTGTGGTGAATGTCTCACTAGGGAATGGGTCACGTCCAAAAATCCTGCCCAAGTCAGTTATAGGAGAGGTCTAGCTCAGCTAAACGTCAGTCACACAGATTCCATAGACTCATGGTAAGAATAAAGGCGTTCCAGAAATGTAGGGGCAGAAGATTGACGATCTGACCCAAAGCAGGTGGTATCTTATCTCTGATGTTGATAGAAACGTCCCCAGACATTGTAGTTGTGGTAGAAAGCCAGGAGGATTTTCTCTGTTTTCAGTTTTTTGCCATAGGGCATATCTGCTTGTTGGAGAGAGACAGAGGGTATGTGAGAAATCATCCCTCAGGAGGGACAGCCATAACTCAATCCCTTCACTTCTTCCATTCTCCTCTCAGGATTTTGGGTAGGTATGTACACATACTTGGTGTAATTTTCAAGCTGTAGGGTCTGGGGCTTGAACTTTAGTCAGCCATGTGGGAGTTCAGCACCTTAACCACTACATCATCCACTGGCACCTAAGGATTATTTTTTGTTTTGTTTTGTTTTTCTGTTCCAAGAGTGCACCCCTGGCTAGTTATTCAGGTGCCCAGCATGGTCAAGTGTTTAAGTTTGGGGGTCTTTGAGAGAAGCTCAGTTCCAAGGTAGCCTCTGATTCCTCTGCTGGGGGATTTACAGCCTTGAGAAATGACTATGGCTGTGAGACTCCTTTCCTAATGCAGTACAATCTATCCCAAAAAGAGCTGTTCCCAAGGATACGTTCCTGTGACATGGCTGTGAGGCAAACAGCACCTGCATGGAGTCCTCCTATTCTAACTGTAATAGCACCCATTCTTCTACACCCACCTCAGTCTGCCCCACCTACACATAACTGAGCAAGCTCTTCACCCATATTCCACCATAATATTTCTTAATTGATTATATCTGGACTCCTCAGAATTGAAATAGTGTATATATATGAAATGTATCCCTTGGGACACAGACAGTGAGGGTCTCCTTTTCGTGGCTGTAATTTACTGTTCTGTGCTTTGTAGTGCTTCAACACTTTTGTACCAAGCAAACGTGAAGGAGGAGGGAATTTACACCAATAACGTCAGAGGTTGTTCTGATGGTCGTTAATCGTGATTCTGAGAATCCTAGAAATGCATCAATTTATCTGTTTGTAAAACCACATGAAAATGAGCCAATGTTTCACTCTTGATAGTTTGTAGAAATAACAAGTGAAGGCCCAGCTGTGGCTGAACGTTGGGGAACTGCCTCTAAATTGTGATTTGCACTTAAATCCCTAGGAACTGTTGCAAAACCACAGATTCCACCTTGGTGGACTTGGCGAGGGGTCCCAGAGCACATGCAGTTGGCCTGTGAGGCACCTGCTGAGTATCAATTGACTTTCAATCATAAATTCAAGAACAGAAACTCCAGTTCTTAAGAGCTCTGCATTTAGTGGGGTCACAGAAATTAGCTTAGTAGACTGTAATTTATGCTAAACTTTGATGATCATCTCATTTTGTACTCATAAGAGTTGGGCAGGTAAATATTATCTCTCTTTTAGCCTTTAAGAAAATTAAGTTCCCAGAGTGTTAAGTGTCTTTACCAGAAAAAACAAAATTCTATCCCAAAAGGAGCTGTTCCCAAGGATATGTTCAGTGGTAAAGTCAGAACTTGAGTTTCAGAATTTTGACTCTAAGTCTTAAGTATATTTCTTTATACTATTATTTCTTGGAACTATGATGTTCCTCAGTGCTATTAAGAAAACAAAACAGGGTCTAGCAGGTGGCATAGTGGTTACATTGCTGGACTCACACATGGCCAACTGCACTTCAAGTCCTCAACCTGGTGGCTTGAAACTCACACTGGGCATGTGTGCATGCATGCCCAAGATCCGGGAGGAGAAAGGATTATGGTGTGGCCATTCCCCTTGGGGGGTGATTTCTCACTTTCCCTCTCTTTGACATGCAAGTGGTGGTAGCCAACAGATGCAGCTGTTTTTCTCCTGTGCATCCATCTGAGCTCCCAGTGGTAACATATTATATGGCAGTGCCCTCACCTTCTTCATGTCCTCATAGAAGAGGTAGAGAATGCGGTGTTGGTCTTTGGCTTTCCACCATCCTTTCACATGGTCATGCCAAGAGCCCCAGCACACTGGAAGACAGGATGAAAAGCAGAGCAATGAGTCACAGAGGCCCCATCAACAAATACTCTACTCAAAGGAGAATTCCTGTAGACTGAGAGAACATCACATGAAAAAAGGCATGGTCTAAGAGAATGATTCCTTCTCATGAAGTATTTGGGAATTTTGGAAAAGGAATGTAATAAAGCTGAATTCTCTCACCTTTCCCAGCCAGAAAATTCTCAAAATACTCTTCCCATGTTCCTGGAGCTGGAAGTGCTTTATTCATTCTGTGGAAATGGTAATATGACACCATATTGTCCTTGGGGTTCCTTGCTACGTAGATGATCTGAGAAAGGTGGGAAGAAGGGAAGAACTGGGTTAGACAGACATGTAGTTATGTTAGGGTGGGTACACTTTGTACAGACGAACCTTCTGAGGCTGCATTCTTGTCATCCTGGCTTTTACAGGAGGTGAAAAAGATTCACACTAATTTGCATATTGACTAGTGCAATGAGGCGGACTTTTCTTTAACAAGGGAAGTGTTTAAGAAGAAACTGATTAAGGCTACTCTAAGGTCCTTCTAAAAAGCACAACTGAATTCCTTCTGCATTTTACCTTGCAGTTTTTCTCTAGGAACGAAGGTGGCAGCAGCTGGATGGGAAGATGTGTTTTCAGGATCCGTGGTCGGGGCATTGCCTTCGCTTGTTCCAAACCTGCAAAATTGGTTTTCAATCATTTCCTACTATTTGCTTCAAAATCTTACTGCTCCCTATACGACTGCTTTAGGGACAATTCAAGGCCGCTGCAAGAGCTCGGTACCTGTTACTGGTCTGCGAGTGTGTCCACCTGGTGAGGAGTTTTTTTTTGGCTAGAACAATTCCTAACTGTAACAATCAATCACATAAATAAGGACCTAAAAATTGCAAACTTTCCTGCTGTAATTATCTTATCTGGCCTCATCCTTCTGAAGTAAAATTAATTTCTAATTATAGAATCAAAATTTATTTATTTTATTGTTTGATTTCTTATTTACATTTAATCATTGTACATCTTTATAGTGTATAATATGGTTTTTCAAAGCATGCATGCAGTGCACGTCAATCGAGTTAATTTTACCACATATATCATCCTCAACCAGTAACTTTCCATTCTTGTGTCTGTTAAATGTCTTTTTCCTGAGCCCCTCCCACTCACCCCTACTAATCACTACCCTTCTGTATAGTCTCTGGTACCTACAATTGTTCTGCCTATTATTATTAATATATAGTCAAACCACTCTTTTAAAAAATTCCATTTAGTCACTGTACATCTTTACAGAATGCAGAATGGTTTTTTCCACTGTGAATACAATGCATATTAGTCAACTCAAAGATGAGGATAGATTTTTTTTTTTTGAGGGGGGAATAGGGCCACTGTGCTCACTGGAGAGAGACACACTGAGAAAGAAAGGGAAAGTGAGAAATCACTCCCTCCCCCCCAGGAGGTACAGCCATGCTGCAATCCCTTGTCCTCCATTCTCCTCTCGAGATTTTGGGCATGCACGCACATGCATTGGGTGTGTTTTTTTGGCCCCTGGGTTCAGGGCTTAAACCATGGTTGCCTTGTGGGAGTCCAACACTTTAACCAGCATACCACCTGCTGGCCCTGAGGATCAAAATTTAACTTACTTTTGTAGAAATAGTAATTCCATTAGAAAATGTCTATAGCATAGCAATAACCAAACAGTTTAAAAAAGACAAAGTCACAAAATCCATCAATAATTATATGACATTGCTAGAATTTTGAGCTATGCAATTTGAAAGTAAAATCCCCAAGTGTATGTTTCGGACCATGGTCAAGTGTGGGTATTCCATACTCACCAGATCCTAAGGACGGGATTATCCACTCGATGAAAGGAAATCGTTCGTGAGTCGGGGCTCGCTGGCTTTTCTTGATGTCACCTTCATTGTGTATTAAGTCCACTATCTCCTGAGTCCACGTTGTTCCTTATTCCACACACCGGATAAAGATACATGGACAGTTAGTGCACTACTTAAAATATGACCAGATACCTGGGAGAACATCTCTGCGAACTTTAAAGCCAGGTTTATAATGGAATTCAGAAAACATCATTCCTTATTTCTAGGTAATGTCATCACAATATGAACTTTTCTACAAACACTGCAATTTGGAGTGGACATTAGGTTCATAACTATATCGTTTTTTTCCCAATCATAAGCATTGACTTGGATTGTTATTCTGTATCAGTAGGTATTAGCTGCATTGTCTTTAAAAAAGATAGACTGAAAGGTCTTTCTCACCAGACCCTGATCTCCTGTACTGACTCAGTCGTTTCCAAATTCTCTCTCTCCTAAGTACATAGCAGGGGCTGCCACGGAGGAGAGACTTGGTAAACACCGTTGACTGGATAAATGAATCCTTAGCACCTTCACTCCCTCGATATTCCTTGGATATCAAGGCTCTATTGGATGCTGCTGGTGAGATGCATTAGCCTGAGGTTTGGAAGGCAGAGGGAGGTAGAGGTCGTCTGTCCTGGGTGATGGCTGCTGATATGGCTCCAGGGGAGAAACACTTTGCAGAGGCCATTCCACGTCCACTGCCCAGGACTCTGACCTAAGAAGCTGTCAGGGCCTCTGCCGTCAGCTTCAGTCTGCCCGCATCCTGCACTGATCCTGAGTGGAGCGGTGCCGCCATGACCATCAGGGCCAGAGGGAGCAGGGCCTCTGCCCCCAGCTTCAGTCTGCCTGCATCCTGCACTGATCCTCAGTGGCGCGGTGCTGCCAACGGGATCATTTGATGAGGATGTGCTACACCGCAGCCTGACAAAATCCAGGCTGGGAGGATATCTGCTTATTTTAGGATGGCTTTCTGAGTCCTGGTCTGGGCTGATTCTTTTTCTTTTCAAGAGAGATTTTTCCTATAGGGTGTGTGTGCTCACTAGACAGAGAGAGACAGAAAGCAGGAAATCACCCCCCAGGGGGATGGCCATGCCGCAATCCCTTCTCCTCCATTCTCCTCTCAGGATCTTGGGCACACATGCACACGCGCCCGGCGTGAGTTTAAGCCACCGGGTCCGGGACTCGAACTGTGGTTGACTACGTGGGAGTCCAGTGACATAGCCATTACGCTAACTGCTGGTCCCTCAATTCATTCTTTAGGGGCTAATGACTCTAGGATTTTTTTTTTTCTTAGCTCATTCACAGTATTTGTTTTTCTTTTAGAAATTTGGGGTAAACTATGTCTGTCATCTACACTTGTTTCTTCTTCCCTCTAAGAAAAACAGCCTTCATTAATGTATGACATTTAGTAATGATTAAATATGACTTTAGATGACAAGCGTTTTACTTCTTGAACTGGCTTTTTAAAAAGTTGCTTAAGTCCAATTAATGCCACGAAAAACCGAAAAGAAACCAAATCTCCATGCTCACATTTGGCAGCTGGAGAAAAGATTAACTATTAAACAATGTACTGCAGTGACGAGCTGCGTTGTCAGTGGCGGCTACTTTTAGAAATTTGCATTCAGAAAAATTTGATTCTGAGCAGGTTCCTGATGAGGAAGATTGGAAAGTCAGGACCAGCACGAAGCTGCCGGGTAGACTGAGGCTTCCAACTGCCCGCCGTCTCCTGTGAGGATGTTCAGAGATAAAGGCAAGAAAGGCTTGAGCAGTCTCAGAAAAGTCTGAGGTTTAGATTTCCCAAGGGGTGCATGTGTGTATAACAGGAGTCATGAGCCAAGCTTGAATTTGGGTACGCATTGAATACTGTATTTTTTTTTAATTTTTTTTTTTTTGTCATAGGGCATGTGCCCCCTTCAGAGAGAGACAGAGAGAGGGAAAGTGAAAAATCACTCCTTGGGGGGATGACCATGCCACAATCCCTTTTCTTCCTTTCTCCTCTTGGGATTTTGGATATGCACACAAATGTGACCAGTGTGATTTTCAAGCCACCAGGTCTAGGACTCGAACTCTGGTTAGCCATGTGAGAGCTAGCATCTTAACAACCACACCGCCTGCAGGCCCTGAACGGTGCCGTTTTAGTAGACGTGTAGAGATGAATAAGTATTTGTAGAGAACAATTTTCCCCTGGTGTAGTGGCTGGGCTCAAGGTAGTGTCACTTCTACAGACAACTTTGTTAAACTGCTGGGAAGGAGGGTGGAAATCACAACAACGTTTGGGCCCTGACTTGGGAAGGCTGTGGGGGGCTGGGAGTGAGATCAGCCTGGGGCAATCTCCTATCCCCCTCTCAGTTCAGCCCCTAGACTGCACTTTCCAGCTCACACCCAACACAGCTTTTGTAATAGGGCTTAGACTGGGAATGAGTAAACACGTCCACCTTTTAGCTCCTGGGTGTGCCACTCCCCTGGGGAAGTAAAAACATAATGTACATCTTAGGAAGAATTAAATTCTAATAATTTGTAGGTCATTTTAATTTTTTTTTTGGTGTAGTTTTAGTCTCCACAAGCAACTTCTCTGAGCCCAGTCTCGGACCCGCCAAGTTTGCCATTCAAACCCAGCTTAGTTCCTCTATTCCTCGCAATGCATCCTCTCCACTCACCTCCCCAGCTCTTCTCCCCCTTCCCCTCCAAGTCCTCCCCTACCTGCTTTGGGATACGTGGAAATAAGCAGGTCATCGGGCTCGGCCTGGAAGTTCCAGATCTGGTCCCAGATGTCACAGGTGGGCGTAGGCTGAAGGATTCCCTGCACGTAGTCGACACTTATGCGCTCTGTCCCATCAAGTTTCAAACCTTCCATCTTGTTTCAGGCCCCCAGTGTCAGAAGTCAGACTCCTGTCCTGGGTAGAAAGTTGCTGTCAGTCAGCTCAAGGCTGCATTCTTAGCATGGTGGGGACGGCAGAGCGCGGCGACGGAAGTTCTGCGCGGCCAGCGGACAGGACCAGGAGCGCGGGCCTGCAGGCTCGGTTCCTGGACGGGGAACCGGGGTCCTGTTTGCAACTTTGCCCTCCTCTAAGGAGCTCGGCCCTCCTCCCGCTAGCCCTGACGTCACACCAGAGGCGGTCCCAAGTCTGCGGCGGTCTGGTTCCGGCCCTGTTGTTTATATTCCTCATCTCGGTGCTCACAGAAACGCTCATTAATGATTTCTTCTGGGAATTTTAAGCAATTACGAAGTTGCAGGGAGCTTGCCCACGGAATTACAGGTTCCACGCAGAATGGCTTCCCTGAACGGCTGCGGGGACACTTCTGTGGGCTGTTACCGCCAGGGCGTTGACCCGAGCCTGCCAGCGCCCACACCCGCAGGCTCCACTGGCTTGTTTGTAGAAACCGTGATAAATAAGGCCCCCCTGGAGGGCGGTGCCTGCGGGGTGGGCTACATCAGGGGGAGTAGGGCGTAGAGTACGTCCGGCCGGGTGGGATGGCGCCGGGCACCGGAGTAACGGGAGGTGGCCGTGAGGAATGCATCCTTCTGGGGCAGTTAGGGGTTCCACCCATTGCTTCACTGCCTTCCCTCTCCAGCCCTGAGTCGCCCCAGGGCCCCTGTGCATGGCCCTGTCGGTCCTGGGTCCTGCCCCGTGCTCCCTCTTCCAGGACTGCGGCAGGCGGGTCCAGGCTCCTCCCAGCCCAGGCTGTCTTCTTCTAAAACTCTCTCTGACTCATCTGGCTCTCGTTTGATTCTTAGTTTTTCTTCAGGTCCCAGCTTGGGGAGCCCTTCCTGGAGAGCTGTCCTGACCTGCAACATCCCCTCAAGCTGTTCCCTCCTGTTTGTTTGCTTAAGGTACCCTCCTTTCCTTTCCAGCAGCTCTTGGAATGTAGCTTTGCTTATTTACTCCTTAACATATTTTCTTTCTCCTTCTAAGGGCCCTTGGAGCAGGACCCTCGTTCCTAACTGCAGGCTCTTATTCTTAACTGCAGGCCAGCCACATGCCTCATTCTGGCCTACTGCTATTTCTTGAGAGAATGAATGAGTAAAACGACACAGAGAACTGAGGGAAGAGTCCTTTGGGCCAGGATGATGTGAGCTGAGACGAGTCTGCACACAGAGGTTAGACTGCCTGCTTTGGAATCGGGCCCAGCTACCAGTAGCTGTGGCTGGTAGTTGTGGGCAGTGGCACGTGACTGACTCACTCCTGCTTTTACACTTCCCACTTCCCTCACGTGTAAGCCAGGGATCTCAGCAGGGTAAGATATTGCACTCAGTGCTGGGCAGCAGGGAAACAGTCCACAAATTGTAGCTACTAGTGATAATGGATGGCTGTGCTTCCCCACTTCTCTGAGGCCCGGGTTCGCGTGCAAACACACATCAGAGACATTCTTTGACTTTCCCTGTTCCTCATCACACCCTGTTCCTGAGGTGGTTGGACTCCTGGCACAGAGCCTGCCAGGTGGGATTCTTGGCATTCATGTGGATATAAAAAGAGTTGCAAGAATTACAATTTTTACTTAGATTTCATCCTACAATTTTCCCAGCCCCATGTGCCAACAGAGAAATGGATTGGTCGGTAGTATCTTAGCAGTTTTTTTTTTTGGAGAGGTTTTTGCTATAGGGCGTGTGTGCTCTCCAGAGAGACAAAGAGACAGACAGAAAGCGAGAAATCACCCCCCAGGGGGGGGGGCCACCCCATAATCCTTTCTCCTCAATTCTCTTCTCAGGATCTTGGGCATGCACACACACGCACCTGGGGTGAGTTTAAGTCAACGGGTCTGGGACTTGAACTGTGGTCGACTACATGGGAGTCCAGCGACATAGCCATTACGCCAGTTGCTGGTCCCCCTTTAATAGTTTCGTTTAGTGCATTGTGAGCTAGAAATGGAGGGCTGGGACCAGGGGCTATGCTCCCAAGCCAAAAGATGACTAGTGGGGGGTTGAAGACAGACCCAGGGAAAATGGAAGGTTTCAAATAATTTGGGGCTAGACAGTGGTGCAGTGGTAAACACAGTGCCCTGAGAGGCCGGCCCACTGGGTAAGTTTTGGGTTCATGTCCACCGACCTCTCTGAGTATACTGGGCATGCTTGTGCGCATGACCCAGGGCTGGCTGAAGCTGGAGTTAGATCATGGCATCAAGACTCCGTTTTTTTTTGAGGGGGTGCAGCCAGGTGGCATGGTGGTTAAAGTGACTGGATCTCACATGGCTGACTGTACGTTTCCTGTCCTGAACCCATGCTGGGTGTGTGTGAGCCCAAATCCTAGGAGGAGAAGGGAGAAGGAATTGTGGCGTGGTCACCTCCCCCGGGGGGAGATTTTGCTCTCTCTCTTTTTATCCTTTTCCAGCAAGTGCATATAGCAGGTTATAAAAATAAAAATTCTGTTGGGGATGCTATTTCTCTTTCAGTCTGTATCTCTTTGTCTTGCTCATGGAATAATTAAATAAATTTCACAAAAAGTTTTAAGTAATTAGAAAGATTATCTTGACTACACATATGATTCTTTTTCTCATCTAATGTTACTTTTATTATTTTATTTGTTTAAACGGGGTCTCACTATGTTGCTCAGGGCAGCCTCAAGCTTGTGATCCTCTTGCTTCAGCCTCTCCAAGTTGCTGGGATCATGCCATTGTGCCCCATCTTTACGTCAGACCAAGAGTCAAACCCTGGGCCTCTGACATGATTCCAGCCTGAGAAGCTCAGTACTGCCATGACTGAGCCTCGCTTTCCTTCTCTCTCTCCCTGCCTGTCTCTCTCTGGTTAGTGCTCATGCCCTATAGCAAATGAAATAACAATAATGATGATAATAATGAATAAGATTAAATAAATAATTCTTAAAACAATTGGTGCTAAGTCTACATTTGACAAGTATTGCTTTGGAGTTCTAAATATTCGAGTGTGAAGCAAAACTGCTCTCACAGCTGTGCCAACTTTGTTACTAATCTCTCTGAGGCTCATTTTCTTTTCTGTTAATAGCACAGGGTTAACAGAAGGATGTATCAGGTGTCCTACAAAAGGTGTCTTATGGTGTTGGCACACACTGGGTTCTAAAGATCAAGTTAACACCTCCTCCCCCTGATTTTTCACTGATTCCCCCCCCCTTTTCTTTTTCACTCTGCCACTGTTTCTGGGATTGGAGAGACCCTAAATCTCAGTGTGCTCTTTGAATGGTTCTATTGCAAATTACTAGCATGTTCAGGCCTCAAATGTGATTTGATTTGTTTGAAAAATTTATGACTGGGGTTTCCAAACTCTTTTTCTTTCTCTCTTCCTCCCTCCCTCCCTTACTCACGTCCGTCCTTCCTTCCTTCCTTCCTTCCTCCTTCTTCTTTTGTGTGTGTGTGCATTCATGAGAGAGAGGAAGAGAGAAAGAGAGAGATAAGCAGAGACTCCTGACAGGTCTCTCTGTGGCATGATCTTCCCCTAAGCCTTCTGGTCAGCCATGCCATGCCTGAGTGTAGGACTGACCTGGGGTCAGACCCTGGCCTTCACATATGGCTGCGGTATCATGCCCTGCTGCCCTAGTACCTGTGCCCCACAGCTGGGCCCACGCTCCGTTTATCATATAAAAATGAAGAATGCTGGTCATTGTGCTTTTTTTGTAAAAAAGAAAAAATGTCTAAAATATGTTTTCACTTGGCCAACTGTTTTTAAAAAGATGTCCATTGGAGAACGAGTCAATACTATGTTGAATGAAATTGAATTGAAATTATCTTCATTTTTGAGTTGATATTTAGCTTGGGTTCATTATAAATGACTCATTTGCAATCCAATAGTTGAAACCAAGTCAAGAGAAAAAAGGGGAAAAAGCACATAATTAAAACTGAAATCAAATCTAGCTTGTTCAGGGGTTATGGTCTGTTCATAGACCTTTTTTCCCCCACTTTCTTCTATTTTCATTGCCTTACTTGCGGTCTACTATTCCGGAAATTGAGTAGTGAAGAAAATGAAATTAAAATGAACCATATTGGGCCAGCAGGTGGCATGGGAGTTAAGGTGCTGGATCCCACATGACCAGCTGTGTGGTTTGAGTCCCAGACCTGGTGGTTTAAAAACCACACTAGCATGTGTGCATGTGTGCCCAAAATCCCGAGAGGAGAATGGAGGAGACAGGAATATGGCATGGCCTTTCTCCCTAGAGGGTGATTTCTCACTTTCCCTCTATTTCTCTCTGTCTCTAGAGAGCACATTTGCCCTATAGAAAAACAAAAACACCCCGCCCCCCAAAAGAACTATATCACTGCTTTCTACTTTAATTAACTTCAGAGACTGGGGTTAGTTGTGAACATTGAATGAAGAGAAGCAGGGATGTAGGCAATCTTTAATCTTGGATAATCCCTTAAAATAAAAACCCAAGGATCTCCTTCATGCTCAGAAAAATAAAACCTGGTCAAATGATGGGTCATGGTGAATAGCCAAATTTAGCAAATAAAAATATAGGATGGGGCCAGCCAGGTGTTGTGGTGGTGAAGGCAACTGGGTCCCACATGACAGACTATGGTTTGAGTCCTGGATCTGGCGACTTGAAAAACACTCTGGGTGTATGTGTGTACGCGGGCATGCCCAAAATCCCATGAGGAGAATGGAGGCGAAGGGGTTGCAGCATGGTCATCCTCCCTAGGGGGTGCTTCTCCCTTTTCCTCTCTGTCTCTCTCTTGAGCAGGTGCACTGCCCTGAAATGTTGCAGAAACAGACTGCCAAGAAACCAAATGCTACTCAGAGAGTAAGAGCACTCGGGATTATTATGCCGGCAGACCCAGAGGAGTTCAGACTCTAAGCTCTGGGCCCCAATTTGGGGTAGGGTAGGGGGAAAGGCTGTTACAGTTACAGACCATAAGGAATTAGAAATTCAGCTTTCCTCATCCTTGGAGCGTGACGACCTCCCCTCCTTAGCTAGGCTTCAGCTGCTGTGCACCCTCCCTCAGTAGCTGGCCTTCGGTTGCCGAGCTGTGCTGTTTATCTTGCAGGTGGCCTGGCTGGCCATTTCTGGCCTCGATCCCCTCTTTTGAGTCTCCTCCTCTGTTAAGGAGAGTCAATGGGTTGGTACATTGTCCCAGACGTAACTAGCACCTGGTATTTAATAGCTTCTGTCCTGGAGGAGAT